TTATTTCATAAACACGCATTTATATATGCTAACTTTCAAATTTAAATTTTACAGTTACAACTGTCAATTTTGCGAGCTGTCTACAACAATGAAAAAGCCATATAATTATATCATGTTTATAGATTTGACTATTGTAACTGTAAAATTTTATCTCATGAGTTCTCTGTAACAAGACAAAAGCCAAATAATGATGTTTATTTATATAATGTGTCTCTTCCATCTTGTTTATATTATGAGTGAATCTCTCCTCCTAGTATTTGATTGTTTGTACCCATTTTTGTCATGTGATTTTGATAACAAATTTATTACTAATACTGTGTACCTATTTTAAAACAAAAATAAGTAAAACTAGTTATTCTTAAATGCTCTAATGATTTGTTTTAATTACTGAAACTATAATAATTTTGAAATAAGATATGAAGAGTTATTTCTATAGGTAGACACTGACTATAAATTTAGTAAAAATAAAAGTGAACTTGAAAGAATTTATAACATTCTGATAATGTGCATCCACTCTTTATTTTAGGAATAATCATAGACAAAACTGATATTGATTCACAAACTGTTTAATCACATAGAAATGTTTAATCAAGTTTCATAAACTTTATATCATGTGAGAAAAATCTTATAAAATTATTTTTCCATTATATAGAAGTCCAGTTACCGTCGTTTTTTTAAAATTTGTATTTACAATTGTAACCAAAAAGCAGTAAGAAAATGTCCATTGCTAAACATTGACTAGGATTGAAAAAACAAAAACATTAAAATTTGATTAATTAATGAATTTGAAAAAAAAAAAAAACTTTAAGTATCTATCCATTAATTATTGAAAATATAAAATTTCAATATAAAATAGTTTTTTATTTTTATGTTAACTCATATTGTCAACTGCTAAGAGTATAAAAAAATGAAAAGATATTAACTAATTTAAGAAAACAATATTTTCTTTTTTTTTTTTTAAATTTTGTTTCTCAGAAAGATCTGTTTGGATGTGCAGTGATGGAGTAGTGTATAGTGGCTCAGAATGAAAGAGAGGAGAGCTAAGTTCAAATTCAAGTTTGTTTCATTGTATTCACATGTGCAAGTACATTTGGGAAAGGTATGAATTCATTTCCTACCCCCAGCTATAGATTAAATAGTAGGACTTGTATCTATAAAAATCATTGTTATTCTCAAAAAATTGATAATGCAATATTCACTTACAAAATAATTATTCTAACTATCCAACAATATTTTGGCTTTAAATAACCTAAAAAGGGTTGATAAGTCATAAAAAACAAATCAATCAATCAACAGAAAAATCTTATTTTATATTTTTATATATAAATATTTTAATCTAGAAATTTAAAGATTATCCCCAAATAGTTGCCCACTGTATTTATAGAATTTAAAAAATTTTTTTGACATATTATACAATCATTATATATAGAAGCCTCTTTATCGTATTTATTTTAATACTAATGTTCACCCAATAAAAGGCCCAAGAGCCATTCAGGTTGATGGTTACTGTCTGGTGTTGTATGAATGTAAGAAAAGGGAAGAAGTGAAGTTAAATGTGGTTATGCAGGAAAGATAAGTTAACCTTAAACTAGAAGAGATCAAGATTGTAGAGATTGGGAAAACATCATGCCAAGAGTCTGTCCCACAAAGCAGCAGTTCTTGGGGAAGAAACTCTCTGAGTAGAACTTACTTATTAATGCAATATGAAAGGAATGGAGATGATTTATCCTTGTGTACATGTCATGGCAGGTCCCATCTGCAAAGGTCAGGGCTGGTGGGACCAAGGAATGCTGCATGTCAGAACACATGCTATAGAAACAATAATAGATTATCAAAAGGCTCACAATTTTTCAGTTACAGGATGGAAAATAATTCATCACCTACAAGACTATGTAGATACTTTTAAACTCTATCAAGACTGGCAAGTGAGGACTGGGCATCTCCAGTCCGGATATGGCAGCAATACTCCAATTTTGGTCAGATTTGACTCTTGTAAAAATAATATAGCAGGGGGAGTCAGATACTTACTGGCATGCTACAAGAAACAGACCATTTTTTCAGCATTTTTGGCAATAGATCCTATATAGGAGTTCCACTTGTGGTCTGGGGAGAGCTTGAGTCCCTATTGACCTTCAGGGTAAGGACTCTCCTTGAGAGAGCACCCATCTATCATAATATATGAAAGTTCTGGGTCTGCTTAGTTGTGGTGGAGTGTTACTAGTTTGGTTTTGGCCATATTGAATTTTACAAGCCAGTCCTTCCCCCATTGAGCCACCTGGGCTAGGTCAGAGGAGAGATCAACTGCTGGGTTCTGGTCATCCAGATTTTTGGAGGTGTACCTATAAACTGTTTTATCATCAGCATAGATACTAAAAATCTGAATAAAAAAATCAGTTTTCAACAATAGGCAAAGAATCATTATTGAAGAATATTTGATGAGAAATAATTTACTTTCATAATAGATCAGATGAATAAGTTGGGAAAAGAAATTTATTTTTTGCTTTTAAAAAGAAAACAATGAAAATACATTATAATTTCCCGTATTCTGTAGTAATAAATTGATTTTCCTTGTCAGTGAATAGTATGGAAAGTAAAAAGGGTTATAATTACTGTGTATATTATGGCAATGACAACCAAAACGCAAACTCACAAAGCAAGTTCTCGGCAAGTTATTCCACTGTCATCATTATACAGCGTGCAGCAGAAATACCCTTCAGAAATACCTGCACATAATGGTAAGACTGTAGTGGCAATGTTGTCTTCATCTAATTAATGTCTTACCATTATGTAGGAGGTATTTCTGTCGCACTCTGTATATAATTAATTTTGCTATATACTAGCAGTAGAGCCCGGCGTTGCCCGGGGATGTAACAGTAAGAGATAGATCAAGTATTGACCATCATAAAGACTGAAAAATAAAATTGACAAAGATTATTGTTTAAGGTTGACGGACACGCATGTCTTAATTAGTTTTTTTTTTTTTTTTTTTTTTTACGAATTGGTCAAACCCAAATTCAAACAAAAACATTGTTTACAATCATTATGAGTCTATCGATTGGTGAATAGAATTTTATTATAAACAATTGTCTTGTAAATGGAATTTTTAAAGCATTCTGAATGTATAAATAAAGAAAAAAGTGTGCAAGACAATAAGAAATACTACCTGCCAAAAAAAAAAGTGGATGTTTGTTTTATCGGCTGAAAAATGTAAGAAATCTGATCCCATATATAAAGGAAAACACACACACACACACACACACAAACAACCTGGGTTTTTTAACCTAAGTCACTCCACGGAATCGCTAAAACATAGAGCATAGTCTGATGAAAAAGACGCCAAAGTTTATGAAAACAAAATTTTATCGTCAAAATGCTTGTGTTTTTATGAAGAGGATAGACTAAATTTTTTTTTAATTATTTTTTAAAATTTTTCCATATTTTTAGAATATTCTAAATTTTGATTTTAAAAAACCGTTTCTCTTTGTTGCAACAAGGGGTAGTAAATAACATAGATAATTTTTAGCACGTTTTTTGTATTTACACACATTAATTTGGAAAATCTTGCAAAAATAAAAATAATTGTCAGATGTTAATGAAACTTTCAGAAACTATTCACAGATGTTTTTTGTTTTTTTTATTAAAGTCATGGCAGAAATATTTTTTTTTATATTTATTAACACATATTATATTTTAAAAATCCATTAAAGTAATGGTTAAGTTAACTAATTTTCACCGAATTTCTTTTTTAGGGACACTACTTTATTTTGAGTAGAATTTTGCCTTTGGAATTCCCTTTCAATTTCTTGCTTCCCTGCCATCTACAATCTTCAAAAAATAAAATGCAATGTCAATCACCATCTTTTGCCTTCCTGAATCTTGTTCTTTTATTGTTCTTTCTCCTCACTTTTCCTCACTAAAGTTTTCTCATTCTCTTTCACTTCCAGTAACCCCTTGAGTCCTAGTGGCATTATTGCCTTGCTTGGGATGAAATAATAAAAAAAAAAAATAAATTATGTACTTTTATTCATTGTCCTTTCAGAATGTAAAAACTCATGACTCCACAACTTTCTCTTCTTTTTAATTTTTGTCCCTTTATTCCCAGCCCATGTTTTGTCATCTATTTACACAAGTTCATAAGATAGTTCTAATCCTCTTGCCTTCAATATGTCCTGTATCAAATTCTCTTGAGAAATTTCAATTCTTTCTGGTTCTAAAAACAACTGTCCTTTGTTTCCATTTGTCTTAAAACTTCTTCCTTGCACACATATTCCACTGATGGTATTCTCAGCATTCATCTGTAGAACCACTTCAAAATTCTACTCAAAATAAAGTAGTGTCCCTAAAAAAGAAATTTGTTGAAAATTAGTTAACTTAACCATTACTTAAATGGATTTTTGAAATATAATATTTGCTTTTTACTTAAAATATATTGAAAAATAAAAATACATTTCTTTTCAGCAAGTTACTGTAGCTGAATTAAAAAAACTCCAAAAATCATTTTAATTCATTTGATAAACAAGGTATGGATAAGCAAAAATTACTAAAAACATAATTTTTCATGTTTGAGCTATATCAAAATTAGATAATTTATAGTCATCTGCAAATATATATATATATATATATATATATATATATAAATTAATAATGTACAGTGTGGCAGAAATACCTCCTACATAATGGTAAGACATTAATTAGATGAAGAAGACACCATTGCCACTAGTCTTACCATTATGTGCAGGTATTTCTGAAGGGTATTTCTGCTGCACGCTGTATAATGATGACAGTGGAATAACTTGCTGAGAACTTGCTTTGTGAGTTTACCCTATCTACTCTTAGTTTGTGAGGAAGTGACTGCTAATTTTTTGCAACCAAAAAGAAGCTATTTAAATTATTGCAATAAATTTTCATTAAAAAGTTTGTAATAATATTCATTTTGTCTTTAGTAATATAAGTGTTAAATTAAGAATATTTAAAGTTTTATTTGCTCTTTTTATTTTCAGGATTTTTGTCAATCGTGGACTTCGTTTGGATAAAGTAAAGTTTTACGGATTTGATATGGATTACACCTTGGCTGGTAAGTCATACTTGATTGTTTGAGAATGTTGTCATTAGTTAACATTACTGACTTTAGTTTTAAATCTATGAATGATTATTAAGGGTAATACAATGACAATCATTAAAGTAACAAAAGTTTTCAAAAATAACATAAAATGATACATATGCCTTGATCTAGATGATGTCTTGAGCATTAGTACTCATATAATTATAAATGTGTCTATAAAATTTTAATTTTAAAAATCAGTTTATTTTTTCACTAGCAACTTTCCATACAAGTTCAGATTAACATAAATCATTTCTACTTTGCCATACAAAAATATCAGTTTACATATTTTGATAATGGTAATGTTTAACCTTTGTGCTTATGCCAGAAAGCTAGTTTTTCCCCTTGTCACCACTATTATTTGCATTATTTTAAGTACCTTCACTCCTTAGCAATGTTTGTTTTAAATAGTAATGATTAGAATTTTAATAGAGCCTAAACTGATGAAAGTGAATTTATGTGTTCTTTGAGATTTTACAACAGAAATATTAAACAATATTTATCTATTTATTTGGTTGCTTATTTATAAGAATAATTTTATATTTACAACATTCTAAAATCTTGCATTAAAACTAATACAATGCAATATTTATCATTTATCAATTTATAAAAAAACAAATATGAAAACAATTTTTCATTCATAAATTTATATACATTTACTAAATCATTAAAATATGTGAACCAACTATAATGAAATCATTATTATATACCATTCTATAAAGTTTAAATAGATTGGCAAATAATTTTGTTTGCCATACTTTAAAAAGAAAAAAAAAGTTTTCCCTTTTGCATAATATTACCATCTCTTGATATTCTAAGGATTTTTTTTTAATTAGGAGTGGAAGAAATAAAATCTAACAAAGAATGTTTGCTAATGTTGAACATTTATATACAAAATCTCTGTATTAGGCACATTTACAGGATTGACAACTAATGCTATTTTGAGATTACCAAGTCAATTCCCTGTATTGATAAACATTTGAGAAAATCAATGACTACATTTATGAATGCAAAATCTGTTATTTTATTTTTTTAATTTTATTTTTTAATTTTAAGTTTTTAATTTTATTTATTTTATTTTATTTATTTTTTATTTTATTGTTTTTCATTTTATTTTTTATTTATTGTTTTTCATTTTATTTTTTATTTATTGTTTTTCATTTTATTTTTTATTTATTGTTTTTTATTTTATTTTTTATTTATGTTTTTTATTTTATTTTTTATTTTATTTTTTTATTTTATTTTTATTTTATTGTTTTTTATTTTATTTTTTATTTTATGTTTTTTTATTTTATTTTTTATTTTATTGTTCTTTATTTTATTTTATACTTTTAAAAAATTCATAGTGGCTAATTAATAAAATTTATAAACATTATTATTTACTTTGATTCCTTTTTAGTGATTTTATGATTTGAACATTACAAATGATGTGGATGACCAATTTTCTTTAAAAAAAATCAATATACAAAATTTACAGGGTGAGTTCAATGCAGTCACCATTATGCACTTTCCTTTTCCCTGTAGTATATCTTAGCTGACTTAAATCATAGATTATCTCTCTTTATTCATAGATAATTTGAATGCATATAACCCTACCTTTTCATACAACCTGCTTTGGAGTAAATAGTACCCCTTCCTCCCGGGTGACTATATGAACTAGTCCATAACCATAAATAAAGAGTTCCAGATCAGAGGTGAGGAGAAACCAGTTATAGTCAGTGTTCTGGCTAATTAATACAGGTGTCCCCGCAAGTAGTGAAAGCATTATTTATAATGCACTTTGTATGGCTTATAATATAACACAAACCTTTTAGCATGTTGAATTATGTTGTTTTTTTTTGTTTTTTTTTAATTCTTAAATCATTTCACTTAAAGTAAGGCAATAGAACCACTAAAACACAATGTAAAAAAAAAACCCCAAAAAAACTGAGAAAAAATTGAGGAGAAAGGACAATAAGAGAATAGGATTCAAGGAGACAGAAAATGACAATTGACATTGCATTTTAATTTTTGAAGATTGTAGTTAAGAAAACAAGAAACCAGAAGTGAGCTCCATGGATGAGAAGTGTAAGAGAAGAAATTATAAGAATAGAATGGTTACATTTAGCAATTTCAACAGTAAAATGATGAAACCTAACTGCCAATCTAGTACTGTGCTTAAGTTCATGAAGTTGAGGTACCAAAGAGGAAATTCAACAGAGCAATTACCATAAACATGTTTATAGAAAAAGCACAGGGAGACTAGATGGTGAGAAGTAATTGATGCTGAGATGCTAGATCAAGTCCAATAATATTACATAATCTTCTTTTTGTATCTTGTCAAGGATCTCTAGATATATAACAGAAGCACCAGATCAGATGTAGCAGCAATATTCAATACATGGACAATTGGTAGACTTATAAAGGTGAATGAGAGATTCTAGTACAAAAAATTGTACTATCTGACACCGTGTGCTCAATGACATGTAATTATGCAAGCCTTTAGTTATGACATTTGATCTTGCTGATCAGTTATTAACTTAAATATTCATAAATGTTGGAATTATTGTGTATTTAAGCAGCAGTTTTTACATTTATAGATATTTTATAATTAAAAAAATCAAAAATTGTTATGTTTACTTTAACTTTTTTGCATGCAAGTGATTGAAGTTTTGGGCCTTTTTGAGTATAGATATTATTTCAATGTTTGTGATCAACTTCTTTCAAACATACTTCTGGTTCTGTTTATTTTCAAGGTTCAGGATTATATAGATGTATCATATTTCCCATATTAAAACACTTTTAAAACACTACATTGACTGTTACTTTATGGCAACAAACGAGTAATCATTGGTTAAATCTATTGTCAGGTGTTGGATATATTTAAAACATAATACATCCAGTATTGAACAGGTTGTTTAGTTTGAGAGTTTTTGATTTTTATGATTTGAGCTTCTAGTATTTTGGGTCTTTTTTTTTTTTTTTTCAGTTTAATATTATGTTATAATTATTATAATATTATATTTGTATGAGTGATGTTTACAAATATTTGTCCCATTATGGAGATCTTATTGTCAAGTGATATATTTTTGCTGATATCACCAGAAATTGCATTGTGATCCATGAATTAACAGGTTAATCAATAGGATAGAAGGATAGTTGTATATTCAACATACAAATTTTATATTTGTGTATCATGAAAAATGCACTTCTCCAAGGCAGCCAGAGAATTCATCAAGGATATTGATGTGGTATACTGGGGATTTTTAAAGGTGGGCATATTTAGATCTAATGTGATTATACTTTTAAGTTTTGGTAGCAAATTGTTAATTTTATATATTTATTATGTTCAGCTGGAATTGTATACCAGTATATAATGCTTTTCCTAGTTGCTTTGTCTCATAGTTTGAACATGTTTAGTCGCAATAGAATATGTTTGTGTTGTTTTTATTACTATCTATATTGTATACTGAGGGCATGGTGGAGTAATGGATAGTGGCTCAGATTGAGGAATTGGACAGCAAAGTTCAAATTCCAGTTGTTTTCATTACATTCACTTACATTCTATTACACTTGGGAAGATATGAATCCATCTCTTCTCCTCCCAGCTATGGGTTAAAACAGGATTTTGCTCAACAAACAGTGACAGCACTTCACCAAACAGCAAAAAAATGTTCACTGAGGGGAAATTTAAAAAAAATTAAATATTTACAAATTGTTAAATCCACTTTGGCAGGAAGGGAAATAAGCTACTGCCATTGATGAAAATACATCCCTTGAGGAGTAGTCTAATTTGTTAGCCAAGGGTAGTGAGTTCAATCCTAGGTAGGCGTTAACATAATTAAAAAGCAGGAAAGACTTGGTTCTATAGCCTTGGATTGCAACTGGTCTAGGAGAAAGAATACTCTGAATTCAAACCAGCCTCAAGAGTGATGGTGTCTGTCAGGCTCTCTTTCCCAAGACACATCAATTCTACTGCAGCTAAAGTACATTCAGTTTCTTTTTCTTTGGAGTTTTATTTGTTTGTCAACAACATAATTTATGGGCAATGTTAAGTTGTTTGTAGAATAGTATTTTGAAAGAGGTGATAAGTTTTACTTGACTGGTTAAAGTTTTAGTAACAACTATTTTATAAGTGTAAAGACATTCACTGTCACAATTAAGATAGGCAACATTTTGAGCTAGTTTGTTTTATGTAAGTAGGTTGTAAAGGTTTGGCTATTAACAAAAGCATCTAAAGAGTTCTGTTTTCTATACTTGCACCTGAAATGAAGTATTATTTTAAGATGTCTTTTTTTTTTTTCATTAAAGTTTTTTACATGCCATGTCTCTTCAGGATGTAGGTGATCATGGTTTCTATAAGTTCCTATTTCTTGTAGCTTTAAGTTTGATTCTTCACCATCCCACTTTATTTCCACTCTTCTGTCAATTCACACAAATTTACTAGGTAGGTTACTTGCTGTTTCCCTCTGCTTCTCCACTGTTCAGCATACCCTGTGAGTGTTAAATTTTCTGAGCTCTCTTTCATCATTTGTCCTAGATATTTCAGTTGTCTCATTTTGATTTTAAGTATAAGCAGCTTTTTAGTTCTCATTTCAAAGTTACACTAAAATGTCATATCTGAAGATTGTATGTTTAACAAGATTTTTGATCATTGAGAAATACTGTAATGAGAGAATGTAAGTCATAAAAGATACTATCAGTCTTTGTATTGAGGTTGCCATAGTGATGTTAGAAAGTGATGTTAGTGATAGTAGCTTGTAGAATCCCTAACTATAAAATAAAATAATGTAAATAGTGTATAAAATAAAAATGATCTAAAACTGAGCAAAATCACCATTCAGACTTGGGACAGTTTTAATAGTCAATAAATAATTTTGTATGCCAATAACCAGACTGTTATCTCATAAAGTGTATATATATATATATATATATATATATATATATATATATATATATATGAATAAAAAGACAGGATGAAAAAGTATTCTTAGCCAGCTAAGAATAGTTTTCCCTCTTGTCTTTTTATTCATTTTGTTGCATTATTGATACACTCTAACTGAAAATAATTTACACACACACTTACATACATACATACATACATATATACATATAGTGCAGAGTTTTAAAATTATTTGATTTTGAATATAGGAAAGGTAACACATTGACTTTACTTTGGATTTTGAAAATGCCAAGAAGTATATTTGAATTCACACTGATCCCCAAAATATACTTGCTTGTAAATAAAGCTGAAAAATTAAGTAAAAATAACAATTTTTGTAATTTTTCATTAAATAGTATCCATATGCATTTACTCACCCTTCTATATATATATATATATATATATATATATATATATAAAAGTCAAATTACTGTTTTTAAACAACAAATTTTTCCTGAACACTCATATCTGCTTTTATTTTAACATGAACAAATGATATATATTATGAAATGGACTAAGTCCCACAATTATTGTAATATATTTTCTGTTCATACATTATTTTTAATAACATCATTATATATGATGTCATTTGTTTATGATAAGAAACACTTCCAGCAAATATGAGCTTTTGTAGAAAAATCATGGGAAATTTGTTGTTTAAAAACAGTAATTTGGCTTTGCTAACCAGATGCTTCCTCTGTAGCTATATATATATATATATATATATATATATATATATCTGTAAAAAAAAAAACATGAATAAAGATGTTCTCAGGAGACAAAATGTGTTGGTAAAGAAAAGTTTTCCTTTTGTCGTTATCCACATACATACATATATATATAATTGATAAACTCTCATTTTACAGAACCATATGATCGATAAATCTATTGAAATTATTATCAGATCTCATATTTATATTCCTTAGAACAAACACTAATAATAACTTTCAAATTATGTTTGTTATCAGTTCATTAGAAACATCATGGTATTTAAATTTAGAACCAGTTGAAATCTTTTTACTCTCTTTTTCATTATTTTTTATTTAATATCACCATATATACATACTAACCTATACATATATATGTACCCATATCAATGTCTTTTTTGTGTTTTATATATATATATATATATATAATTCTGTCATCATTGCGAATTTCCCAACAATCACATAATCTGTTATTCAAACTTACAAATTATTTATAGATTCAATAAAGTTTAGGAAATATACCATATTTAATGGCATAATTATCATGTGTGGCTGATTGGTTAAAACATTTATATTCACACCTTATGGCCAAGGCACAAATCTTATGATGATCAGGGAAATGGCTTCTTGATGTTATCTAGGTCAGAATTTTAAATCATGTTAGGATTTACATGATAGTTTTTTTATCTGTTTGTTTTAAGCATGACAGAATTGATTGACAGGAATAAAATCAAAAAATAAGAGAAAAAGTCACTGTTCATTAGATTGATTCTTTATTCATTTGAGTCATCAAAATGTTGCTTGCTGTCATTATAATGTATTTTCTGAACTAGTTAATATAATATCTGGGATCAGGAGTTATTTACAGTCAGACTAATATCCACTTGTTTCTTGTTATCATGTTTCAGTCATTGTATTCTCCAGCCATTTTCAGGTGTTTGTTGATCTGGGTAACCTACGAGGAATTTCAAACTGAACCCTTTATTTTAATCTGATTTTTTTCATTCTGCTATCCATGAATGGACAGAAAAAATATATCAATAAAGGGATCTGCCAATTGTTATTAGTTTTTTGTCTCTTAACTTCTGGGATGAGGAGTTATCATTATTTGCATTATTTGCAGTTAGACTAATGTCCTCTTCTTTGCTGTTATTACCATAAAATTTGGGCTGTTGTCTGGCCTTCTTCAGACATCAATTGATCTAGGTAACTGTCAAGGAATTTCAAAGTGAACCCTTTATTTAATCTATAGGAGTAGATTGTTCTCATTCTGCTGTCCATGTCTCAGGACATCCTGTCTTGTTCTATTTTTAATACTGCTTAGTTATTGCTCACCATGTTTCTACTGAATCTAAATCTTTATTACTCAGCTCCCAATTGTTGCCAAATTCACAAACCAATGCCTTAATCTACCAGGCTATTTTCCCATGGGTCTGGAGAAGGCTGAAAGATACAAGTGCTGAAATGTAATAACAGAAAAGATAAGTACATGACATTAGTCCAAATGTAAATAATAGTTTTATATTGCAAATATCTCTTTCTCAGTCTCACACACACACACACACACACACTTTCTCTTTTACTCATACTCACACTCTCTCTTTCTTTCGCTCTCTTGACTCTCATATCTATCTCTCTCTCCCTCTCAACTCTATCACTTTCTATCACTCTCTCGACTATCGCTCTCTCACTTGACTCTATCGCTCTCTCACTTGACTCTATCTCTCTCTCGACTCTCTCTCTCGACTCTCTATCTCACTCTCTATCTCTCTCTCGACTCTCTATCTCACTCTCTATCTCTCTCTCGACTCTCTATCTCACTCTCTATCTCTCTCTCGACACTCTATCTCACTCTCTATCTCTCTCTCTCGACTATCTCACTCTCTATCTCTCTCTCTCGACTATCTCACTCTCTATCTCTCTCTCTCGACTATCTCACTCTCTATCTCTCTCTCTCGACTATCTCACTCTCTATCTCTCTCTCTCGACTATCTCACTCTCTCTCTATCTCTCTCTCGACTCTCTATCTCTCTCTCTCTCTCTCTCTCTCTCTATCTCGACTCTCTCTATCTCTCTCTCTCTCTATCTCTCGACTCTCTCTCTATCTCTCTCTATCTCTCTCTCTCTCTATCTCTCGACTCTCTCTCTATCTCTCTCTCTCTCTATCTCTCGACTCTCTATCTCTCGCTCTCAACTATCACTCGCTCTCCCTCTCTCTCTCTTGACTAATCGCTCTATCTCTCTCTCCCTCTGTCTTTCTCATCTCGCTCTCGCATTCTCTCAACTATCTCTCTTGCTCTCTCTCTCCTCTCATTCTCTTTCTCTCTATCTCTCTCACACTCTGTCTCTTTCTCACACTCTAATGCGCATTCTCTCTCAACTATCTCTATTGCTCTCACACTCTATCGCTCTTACACTCTATTTCTCTTTCTCACACTATCTCTCACTATCTCTCACACACTATCTCTCACACACTATCTCTCACACACTATCTCTCACACACTATCTCTTTCTCACACTATCTCTCACACACTTTCTCTTTCTCTTTTTCTCTATCTCTCTTTCTCTTTCTCACTATCTCTCACTATCTCTCTCACACTATCTCTCACACTATCTCTCTCACACTATCTCTCACACACTATCTCTCACACCTTTATCTTTCTCACACTATCTCTCACACACTTTCTCTTTCTCACACTATCTCTCACACACTTTCTCTTTCTCACACTATCTCTCACACACTTTCTCTTTCTCACACTATCTCTCACACACTTTCTCTTTCTCACACTATCTCTATCACTCTATCACAACTCTATCACTCTATCACTCTCTCTCAACTCTATCACTCTATCACTCTCTCTCAACTCTATCACTCTATCACTCTCTCTCAACTCTATCACTCTATCACTCTCTCTCAACTCTATCACTCTATCACTCTCTCTCAACTCTATCACTCTATCACTCTCTCTCAACTCTATCACTCTCTCGACTATAGTGAATCAAAATTAAAAGTATCTCTGCTTGTGAGCTGAGAGTTAATTTTTATAATGAAGAACAAATGCTTTAATGAATATCAGCTAAAATATATTCAATTTATTTCCATACATTAGGGTAAAAAAAAAAAAAAAAATATATATATATATATATATATATATATATATATATATATATATATATATAGTGTAGTGCATAATTATAAGGTCAGCTGAATTTTATCTTCAAACTTTAGCAATTGAGATAATATGAACACTCCATGTTTGACCAAGCACCATGTCAGAGCACTTCAATTGGGCCCTAGTCTCATATGACTTGGGACAAGCAATGGGAAGGTGTGGCATTTTTCAATGAAAAAAATTTAATTTGGATGGTCAGGATGGGTTATCTTATTATTGGCATGACCTTAAAAAGGATGTTGGTCTTTTCTAAGCATGTGCAAGGAGGAGGGAGTGGTATAATTTGAGCGGCATTCGGGTTCAAAGGCAAAACTCAAATTATTTTCATTGACACAGGACTTGATGCTTTGAGTTATCAGAATTTGTTGTCTACTGCTCCTTTGCCTAATGGAAAAAAAATTAACGTTTGAAATTGGGTGTTTCAGTAAGACAACACTCTTGTTCACAAAGCTAAGTCCATTATGGAGGGGGTTTCAAGCTAACTGAATCATTGTTATGGATTGACCCACCAGATCACACGATCTCACTTCTATCAAGAACCTTTGTGGGATATTGGTTAGATGAGTATACAAGAATGGGCATCAATTTAATAACAAGAGCTGAAAAGTGATATTTTGAATGCTTGGGATTCAATTAATCAAAATGACATTCAGAAGTTAATCTATTCTATGAAAAATAGTGTTTGAAGTAATAGCCAATCATGGAAAACAAACTAAATATTAATTTCTATTAATTTTTACTGTTTGTCACTTAGTAATAAAAAATTTTTAATGGCCTTATAATTATGCACCAATCACTTTTCAAGTTTTTGAATAATTTTACAATAACTACTCATAGTAATTATTTGAAACTTTCAGATTATTAATACTATATAATAATATATAAAATATTAAAAAAATAAAATAAAATTCAGCTGGCCTTATAATTATACACCACACAGTATATAAATAAAGTTGTATGATTTTTTTATCCTACATATAGTGTCATTAATGTTAATTATTATAACTTTCTCTATACAGTTATGTAAATCACTGTTACAATCTGCATACAAGGGCTTCATTTAAGTTTTGTAAATGATATTTTGTAAGTCTAGACATTGAGTTATAAACAGTTTAGTATTGGGCATTTAACAATATGATGAATCATACATATGGGGACACATGATGATATCAGCAACCAAATTAACTGTCAGTACAACATATATATTGAGTCAACTGTGTTATTGATAGTAACACTAACACAGTCCAATTGATTGCTTGAAGATAAAGAACTTTAGTAAATGGTAATGAACCAAGCTAACATTGGTTTATTTAGTAACATACCTTATTTTCTTATGCATAATATGAAGAAAATTCAACAAAAATTAAAGTTAAAAAAGGAGGGGGTCATATTATACACAAGTACACTTTTTCAGAAATTTTTACTTGGCTTAGAAAAAACTTCTTTCAAACAGCAAAATTGCAAATACTCTCAGTTAAAACAATCTATATATAGAACTGTGACTTCTGTTAGTTTCTGTCCATCACACCTACTAAAATAGCCATACATTGTCTAATCAAAACCATATTTGGGGGAGAAGTGCAAACAGGTAAAGGTGTATAAAGTACACTTGGTTTTATGTAGCTTAGTAAAATAAATTTTCATTAATATTTTCGGAAAAATTAAAATTTTTATTATTTAACATGCAAAATACTCTTACTATTTTAAAAAAACAATTTAATGATTAAAATAACAAATGCTTATTTAATAAAAATGCAATATCGTTTTTTTATATACAAGAATCCAGTTTCTAGTTCATGCTGTGTTTGCAAGAACTATAAAAATATCACAAGACCAAATGCTTCAGAAAGTTGGAATTTGACTCCAGAAAGAAATATTTATGCATGGCCAGTTATAATGTTCAAGAGTAAGAAATCCTAAGAATTTATTTTTCACTGTTAAAAAGGAAAAAGTTAAAAAAAAGAAATTTTCTTATGAAAATATTGTTTACCATAAAGTCCTACAAAATTAAATTAAAGAAAGTATTAAACCGCGAATTTGAGTTTTTGTCAAAGTATTTTCCAAACAAATCAGTTCATTCAAATTTCATCAGTTGGTTTGCAAAATTGAACGAAACACATTTTGTAAATCTCAACAGAAAATGTTAGCAATAATTTCAACAATACTAAGTACTGTAAGGATTTGAACATGCTAGTAGATCATAAAACACAAAGTAGGCAGGTGTTGATAATTGCTTATAAAAGGTTTTTGATATGTTGGTAATATTTGTTCTTTGGGAATAAGTGTAATTGAAGATCTTTTGTCTCAAAGACAGGGCATTCTCTGAAATTGATTAAAAAAATCAATAAATGGAATACACAAGGTCTGTCCTCTTTCGGTAATACAGTGTAACCCGGATATAAGAGAGTTGTCGGGACCGGAGAAGAAGTCTCTTATATCCGGGTTTCTCTTATATCTGGGTTTGGTCTATTTTGTTTAGGTAAGTATGGGAACACTTCATATAATGCTTTTTACATACAGAACACTAGTTTATTTAACAGTTATAGACATAAAAAACACAGACAAAAATACATTTTCAATCAGTTTTCAAAATAATTCAATCAAAAATTACTTTTTCTTAAAAACGTCAGTCATTTTTGATTGTACAAAAATCTCTTTGTTAACATCATGAACACTTTCATACAGTCCGTAAATCATTTTCAATGCACCATCAGGATTACTGCTTTTTGCTTCAAAGTAGGCTGTCAGAGTTTCAAGCGCATTCAATGCAGCCAGAGAATTTGGCACTGGTTTGTCACTTTCAGAAACTTCAGAACTTACACTTTCAGCATCATCATCTTCGTCAAAATCTTGATCATCCGATTTTATACCACATGTGATGTCCGTGTCAGTCAGTTCTCCATAACATTGTGTACGGTCGTCGAAGCTGATAAATTCATTAAAATCTGTTTGCCGTGGTTTTGCTGACTTACCAACAACTACAGCTTGCTTTTCACTGCCATCCATGTTTGTGAACTGAAGCATCGTGAGTCTGTCTTTGGGAACTTTTGTCCCATTTGACTGTTCGTCACCGGCAAATCACAAAGATCCAGACGGCATGGCTTTGTAGAAAATTCCCATTTCATCACAGTTCCAAACATCTTTTGGATCATATCGACAAAAAAGTTGCAGCAAAACGTTTGTCACCCATTCGTTGGCAGAACCGTGATCTGTTGACGTTGATTCGCCGTGAAATTTTTTAAATGAAACGTTATTGGCCTGCTTCCAGCGCATGAGCCAGCCATTGCTCGGTTCAAAATCAACTTCAAGATTTATGGCCAGACTAGTCAAGATTAAGTCATTGAACTTCACTCTCTCTCTAACTGACCTCTGTTTGACCGATTTACGACATCACACTGTCACTCAAAACGAACTCTCTTCTATCGAGGAGGATGGGACCAGAGAAAATCTCTCTTATATCCGGATCTCGTATATCCGCTTCTAATTTATATACATTAACACAGGCTCTAATTTGGGACCAGAGAAAATCTCTCTTATATCCGGGTTACACTGTATTACAAAAAGGTGTAATTATTATCCACTAAGGATGTGACGCAAGGTCGTTTTTAACAATTGGTGTCCATACACATAAATATGTATATGGGACAAGACCAAAAATTGTCCAGTCCTTGCAACTACTGTCTTGCTGGCTTTGATATTACACTGACCGAAATTCTCTTAGTGCAATAAGGAAGGTTCTGCCACAGGGTTGGATTCCCCAAGACCGGACACCTTCTAACATAATGAAAGAACAGATACTATGCCTCCATCCCAACCAAAGCTTGAAAAAAGGAGTGATAATTCCCTTCCTCAGTTGGTTGACACAAAGCATCCAGTTTGAAAAATTAGAGAAAAATAAAAATACAAAATCGGTACATAAACAACCACACCTATCACTATATAAATAATATACACTGGTACTTATAATTTTAAATTGCAAAATATTATGATAAATTATGAATACAACTTTGAGATTTTAATGGATAATATGGTACACTTTTTCCTAAAAACTTTAAATGGGGATTAACATTTTTATTTTTATCAGTGAATAGTATGTTTTTAAATTTTTTTTTTATGATAATATTCATTCTGTACAAGGTCCAAAAGCACCTCAAGGTAGTGTCACAGAGTAAGAGGTGCAGTTTATCGGGATATGTGGAGAAGATAATGGTTAACCTTTGAAGTGATTGGGGTGCATCCTCTTTGGAGTTGCTTCCACAAAGCAGTGGTTTGTGGGAAGCTGCTCATATGGAACATAGATCTCACCAATGGAATATGAAGAGAATGAAGGTAGTTTGCCACAATGTTTGTGATATGGCAGATTTTATCCATGAAGGTTAGAATAAGTGGAATTAAGGAATGTAGTTCATCTGATCACTTTCCACTTTTGATAGAGTAGAAGAGGCTTGCAATCTCTCATCTGTGGGAAAGAGTTTCTAGGAGGAAAATAATTCATCACCCACAAGGATGCAGAGACACTTTTGAACTCTATTGAGACTGGAAAGTGAAGCCTTGGCATCTCCTGTCCATATATATGGCAGTAAAGAAAAACTCACTATAACAATGGTTTGCAAGATTAATTGATTAACCACAGGCTTTCCAACAATTCTTCCAATGAAACATTATTCAACAAAGATAAGAAAGACTATGAAACAGCCCTAAAAGATAATGGATTCCCAGCAACACTCATATACACACCACAGAGGACAAAAAAAGCCAACAGGAAGAGAAATATTGTATGATTCAACCCACTGTACAACAAAAATGTAAAAACAAATGTAGGAAAAATATTCATCAAATTCTTACACAAACATCTCCCCCAAATCGAGCACTCTCCACAAAATATTCAACAAAACTGCAGTAAATTCAGCTAGAGTTGCACCGAGAACATGACATGAATAATAAAAATCACAACGGGAAAACCATCAACAAACAACCTGAGCAAATTAAACCCATGTGTAACTGCAGAATAAAGAATGAATGTCCCTTAAACAGTAATTGCTTACAAAACAATGTAATATTCCAAGCCATGGTAAAATCATCAGATATCAACGAAAAAATATACATAGGAGTAACTTAAGGACTCTAGAAACAAAGAAACTAAGCACACAAACAAGTAGTAAATATGTGAACAGCACAATGCTTTTCAAGTATATCTGGGAAAATAAAAAAAAAAGCAAATCACACCAAAAATATCATGGAAAATAAGGAAAAGAACATTAGCCTACAACAATCAATTCAAAAACTGCAACCTCTGCTTGGAGGAAAAAATATCTATAATTACCTTCCCAGACCAAAACAAACTACTAAACAATCAGATCCCACCTGAAAATGCAGACATGAAAACAAATTTTTACTACATCACTTAAAAACTGGAAAGAATAAATAAAAATAACCAAAATTAAATTAGCCCAAAATTTAGTTTTGTAATTTAAATAAGAGAAAATTATTATACATGATTTTTTTTATTAGAAATTTTATTATGACCAAAAAAAAAGCATTTTATGATTAAATTTTGCTCTCGTCAAAATATCCTCCTTTACCTTTGATTACTGCAGCACAAATTTTGGGAATTCATTGCAAAAGTTTCTCAAAGTATAATTTTGATAATTGATTACATTCTTTTTCTAATGACTCTAAGAGTTCTTTATCATTTTTTTTTTTCACTCTTCTGTGAAGTTCATCCCATGCTAATTCTAGGATGGCTTCAAACATTTAAATTGTAGTGCATATAATATGAAAAATAATCTTAGACAACTGAAATTACTCTGCTAACATAGTGTGGACTGTTTGGAACTCATAATCCTTTTGGTACTTATTACTTCAGTTTTCCTGAGTTACTTTGCTTCTCTTTGTTTTAAGTAATAAACAGGTCAGTCATTTTAACATTTAACATAAGTATTGTTATGCTCAGATTGAGGAATCGGAGAGCCGAGTTCAAATTCCATTTGAATCCATTACATTCACATGTGCTAATACCCTTGGGAAAGTTATGAATCCTCTTCTTCTCCCTCCAGCTATGGGTTAATAATAGGACATACCAGGTTCTATAGCCTTGAATGGAAACTGGTCTATGGCAGCCTACCGTGGGAAAAAATCTGTCTCGTCAGTCATGAATGGAAAGATACATGTTTGCCTAAGCATGTATCCTGCAAGGCACCTCATTGATTTTCATGCACTATTAAATCTATTCAGCCTTGAGAGCTTTGATGTTCCCTTAAAAGTGCATCTAAATTTTTTACTATCAAACAAGGATTATAAAGACGTAGCCTCTTTAATATGATTATAACTTCTGTTATTAATATATAAAGTGAACAGGATAAGAAATCGTAGTTTGACATTCAGCAATATTCACTCGCAAAACAAATTCTTCTGACAATCAAAAATACATTTTGCCTTTAATTGATATAATAGTTCAACTAGATATTATTACAATTAACCCTTTCCTAACAGACACAATATCACAAGCCTATTGCTAAACTGTCTTTATTTCCATGGCAAATGTTCAGATGAGCTCTGTTCTTTAGTGCAGCCAGCTCAGATCTTTACAGCCAAGATCCACCTTGTTACATCCACAGGGTTGAATCACCCTCATTTCCTATGTATTCAATTATAAGGATGTTCCATTCAGAAAGCTTCTTCCCAAGAACTGTTACTTTGTAGAACAAACTCCAATGTGGCTGCTTCTCTGAACACAAGCTTAAACCTCTTCAAGTCAAGGGTTGATCATTATCCATCCACCATATCCTCATCATTTTCACTTTCTACTTACATTCATATTACACGTCATTTAGTAACCCTCTACTCCCAATGACTCCTGGGTGAACATTAGTAAAAAAATTAAAAAAATGTTATCTGGATCAGTGTTTTTTAAGGTCCACATCAAATCCCTTTCATTTCTTGATTTCTAAAGTGGATGTACAAGTGGTTTAATGAATAGTGGCTCAGAGAGAGAAATTGGAGAGCTGAGTTCAAATTTCAGTTGAGTTTGTTACATTCACTTATATGCAAATACCCTTGGGAAATGTATGAATCCATCTCCTACCCCTAACTATGACCTGTATCTGGAAAAATCATTGTTATCTCCCAAATGTTGCTAATACAATATTCACTGACAAAAAGAATACTTCTTAGAATCAAAAATACATTTTGGTTTTGAATATTATATATATTTTAGCATAGTGTGAGATTTTTATGCAAAAAATGTTGCACTATACACAGATCATCAGTGTTCACTTGCACTCTACTCAAGTAAATTTTTTCTGGAGGGGTTAAAATTCATACAAAAAAATTCAGGGATCGCACTATATATGAAGTTGGCTTATACACAATTATGTACATTTACCTATGAAAGGTTGATATACCGTAAAATACAAATCAATCTTGATTTTCATAATTATTTGTATTAAGGATATCATATCTCATCAGCTCTACCTATTATAGATAAACTTTTCCAAAACAGAAACAGTGATCTGAAATTGGAATGAAAGCAGTAATGGCATATATCCTGAATCCATCATAAAAATTCAGGGTGTGAAATTACTAAATACTAAACACTTTAAAGACCTCAGTGTATGGATCAGTTATAAGAAAGTTTGTATAGGAGTTTGTTAATTGAACATAGAATAAGCTGTGCTAGAGGTATTTGTACAACATAGTAAATTGCTATAAAACTAAACATTAACCTAAAAACTTGTCACCTTCTTAAATAACCTTGTCAAATCATGATATTCATATGGATTTCATGCATGGTCACAAACCCATTCAGAAATATCTCACCTGTCAGCTGTAAGCAGCTTTCTAAAATCAATGGTTAAATATGGCTTTGTGCAAGTGAAGTCATGGATCATGGCAAAAACATCCTCTTTGAACTTTGTGAAATGGAGGAACAGAATCACAAAGAACTGTGCCAAATAACAGAATTTATAATCACTTCAGAACTTTCAACAGTAGCAACAACTAAAATGGATAACACATTAACTTGAAGAGAAAATGATGATATAATCATGATGTTGACATTCTACACTATTTCGAATAATAGGTCAGGAAGAAAAGCTCCATCAAAAGTGCAGTAACAGCTACTGGATTTGGGAAACATGTTTTCCTTAAAAATTGTTTTAAGAGAAAAATTTTATAAATTTCACTGAAAATAGCACTGGCTGCTTGGGTGACACTGAGGCTGTGAGGTGGTTTAACATTAATT